CGAGGGTGGGGGCAAGGAGGAAAGTCATCACGGATCCTCTGCATGAGGGTACCCATGGCCAGAGAGCCTGGGGTGAGCCCCTATTCTTGAGAGTGAGATCAGGAGGCCTGGCTCTGAGGTGCCCAGACTCCCCCACGCCCTCCTCTCCTGCCCCCAGACAGGGGCAGTGTGAGCCCCAGGATGCCTCTCAGGCTTGGGGAGCGCAGAATGCCCAGCAGGGAGTGTGAGCAGCAGAAGCTCAAAGGTTCAAGGGAAGCACGTGGCCACAGAGATCAAGTGCAAACCAAAACTAGAAGGGCTCAGACACCAGTGTGAGGAAAAGGAGAGGGGCAGAGAAAAGCAGAGAGACCACCAGAGCGGCCGGAGGGCTAGGGTGCAGAGCCTCTCTGTGCAGCACCAGGACCCTGAGAGGCTTCCCAGCCCAGGCCCACAGGCGCCTTCAGGACACTGTCTTCTCTCCCAAGGTGAGTGGGGCCGTGTGTCGCAGAGGTCGTGGGGTGATGTTCTGGTGGTAAACCATGCAGCTCTTCAGCACCCTGGGCACCCCTCCCCCACACCTCTGGCAGTCCTGAGAGCTTCCTAGACGGACTGTCCTGAGTTGCTGGGTATACCCAGCCCCGGACATAGAGGTCCGCTGAACTCTGAAGAGCCTGTTTCCTCACACAGCAGGAACAGCTGTCTGAAAGAGCTCATTTGGTTTGCAACATTCAGATTCAGAAAGGGTAGGGGGCATATTCTGGAAATTCCCGAGCCAGGCCTTGCATAGCAAGCAGCAAGCTTGTAGAAGTGGTCAGGGACCTGTGAAAAAGGCAGAGTAGGGACCCATGTGTGACATGAGACCTGCCTTCTGCCCACTCTGATGATTGGAGGCCTGCAGGAGGCAGGAGGTGGTTCAGAGATGAGACCACCTTTATAGTTATGATGCGTATCTCAGGAGACTTTCCATGAGAAATGTCACAGCACCCCCTCCTCTGAGAGAAGAAGAGGAGAGGAGGGGAAAGGGAGAATCATGAATTTGTCCAAATATTTATTCCCAAAGAGAACAATTTGTACGCTGCAAGAAACTGAAATACCTTGAGATAACCAGATGGAGCTTTTCGCCATTGGTACAAATGGGGGCTTAAGAAACAATTGATTTTAGTTATAGACAGTTACATTTCTGAACATCTGGGTGATGTCATCATTCCAAATTGTGTATCTGACCACAAAAATTCTAATAAAATGTTCTTGCCTTAGTCCGTTTAGAGTTTCTATAACAGAAAACCTGAGATTGGGTAGTTTATAAAGAAAAGATGTATAGCTCACAATTATACAGGCTGGAAAGTTCAAAAGCATAGTGCTGCATCTGGTGGTTTCTGGTGAGGGCCACGTGCTGGGTGAAAATGTGGCAGAGATGGGGAACAGCAAGCAAAGGTGTGCATGGAGAGAGGAAGCAAAGAGCCTAGGAAGCCAGACGAGCTCTTACAACAACCTGCTCTCGCGGTAACCAACCCGGACCCACACTCCTCCCACTAGCCCACCTCCCAACACTGTCATATCGGGGATCAAATTCTGACATGCACTTCAGAGAGGAAAAATTCAGACCATAGCAGCCCTTCTAGGACTCCAAAAATAAAGGGCCTCTGAAGCACGTTAGCCCTGGAGAAGCCTGTTTGCTGACTGCAGGCCCTGAGAGCCAAGAGCTAAAAGAGGTCCTGCCTCAAGGTGGTCCTGCCAGTCCCAGCCCAAGGTGGCAGGGAATGGGTGAGAAGATTGTTTCATCTCCCCCTGATCCCAGCTCCCAGTGCCGTCCCCACTGCCTAGCCTACAGCAGACCAGGGGGCCTCCGTGCCACACTTCTGGGAGAAGCCAACAGGGAGAGGTCAGACTGTCACACAGGCCCGGCAGGAATTCTCCAGTCTATAGTCAGTGGTGGTCCAGCACCTTCAGTGCTAAGAGCTTAGACTTGTGCACCCAGTGGATGGTTACTGGTGGGCAGAAGAGAAGCCTGCCCACGGGGGACACAGCCTGAGCTCTTTGCTTAGAGCTCTGCCCAGCAAGACTTTGAAGCTGTAAACTCAGGCTCTTTGCAGCCCTTCCTGCTCCTTCTGAGAACAACTCTCCCGAGCCCTCTGCACTGAGCCCCATCACTTTAGGACTGATCGAATGTAAAATGTGGCTTTGGCTCTGGATTCTTCTGCTGGGATGCTTTAAGTCAAACCTGCT